GCTTAGATAACCGTGGATCGGAAGTATTGCTCTGTCATTGGCTGGTTTTATATGCTTAGATTTCAATGAAGTTCATTGTTTTCCTTTGAAAAGTGACCATGATAGTTGTTAAATTATAAGGTTATTTTGAAGATTAATGACCTGCTGCACGTTATTTTAAAGAGAATCATGTTTTTATGGGCTGGAGCGATAGCACAGTGGTAGGGCGTTTGCCTTGCACACAGCCTTCATGGCCGACTGGAGTTTGATTCCTCTGCCCCTCTCAGAGAGCCCGGCAGGCTACCGAGAGTGTCTCGCCCGATGGCAGAGCCTGGCAAGCTACTCGTGATGTATTCGATATGCCAAACACAGTAACAACAAAGTCTCCAATGGAGACGTTACTGGGCCCGCTCGAGCAAAGCGATGAACAACTGGAGGACAGTGATCAGTGATCAGTGATCATGTTTTTATAGTTCTGTCCCAGAATAGATATTCTAATAAGTGGTAACTATTCTGTTTGATTTTATTCTTTGGTTTCTGGGCCACACTGACTTGTGCTTGTGAATTCCTTTGGTTCTGTGATCAGAGCTCACTCCTTATCATGCATGGTGGACCATATGTGGTACTGGGGAGTGAGCCAACCTACGTGCAAGACAAGTGTCTACCGCTGCATTGTCTCTATCTTACTCACCAACTTAAGGCAGATATGCCTTATGTAATTAACCAGTAATTGGTTGAATGAGTTTATAAAATTACTTTTAGAAATTAACATTTTCCTATTCTTTTATGGTTGAATATATGAAAGGAATGGAAGATACTGATTGTGTGAACGAAATCAGAAAATACAGATTATTTTTTTAACTACTCATATCTTGGCAAATTTGAAGCAGATCCCAGGCCCTTTTTCCACTTGACTTTCCTTTGGTTCCAGATATTTCTATCAAAATATCTTTATGACGACTCCAACAGGTGGCATCTTAGCATGTCCAAATCTCAACTTGGAGTCTTTCCGCCAGCTCCTGATCTTCCAGAGGCAGTTAATGAAATTGTTATCTACTTGCATCCCCTGTGATACCGATTCTTTCAACCAAATTCTATTGGTTTTTGTTCCGTACTTGGCTTTCTGCTTCACCATTCTCTTCTTAGTCTAAGAATTAGCTGCTTACATTGTGCACTGTGGGCTGCATAACTAAATATCGAAGACATGGAAAAATTCTTAAGAAGAAAAACATGTTTGATTTATTATCAGTTTACCCCTATGCCTAGGGCCACATTTTCTGATGGAAATGGGTCACCAGTGGAAAAGTTTAAGAAGCCCCAGTCTCAGCTACAGTCTTGGCACATCTGACTGCTTCTCTGCCTCCCATGCCCCTCTCCTCAAATAATTCCAAATTTGTTATTTTTAAAACATGGTTGATTATCATACCTCATTTAAAAGCTTTTTTAATTTTTCTTTTGAGGGGGTCTTCTGCCTCTTTTTCTTTTCTTTTCTTTTTTTTTTTTTTGCTCTTTGGGTCGGAGCCATAGCAGGGCTGGAGCGATAGCACAGGGCTGGAGTGATAGCACAGCGGGCAGGGCGTTCGCCTTACACGCAGCCAACATGGCCGACCCGAGTTCGATTCCTCCGCCCCTCTCGGAGAGCCCGGCAAGCTACCGAGAGTATTTGATATGCCAGACACAGTAACAACAAAGTCTCCAATGGAGACGTTACTGGGCCCGCTCGAGCAAATCGACGATCAACGGGAGGGCCTTTACCTTACCTTTACCTTACCTCTTTGGGTCACATCCGAAGATGCACAGAGGTTATTCCTGGCTCTGCACTCAGGAGTTACTCCTGGCAGTGCTCAGGGGACCATATGGGATGCTGGGAATTGAACCTGTGTTGGCCGCGTGCAAGGCAAATGCCCTACCCGCTGTGCTATCGCTCCAGCCCCTCTGCCTCCTTTTCTTTGTCCAACGTTGCCTCTCCTACTGTGATTTGCCTCTTTAATTTTATTTCTTTACGTTGAACGTGCATGCCTCATAACTGATTTTTGACCATTGTGTTTGCTGAAGAAAGAGAAGCAATGTTCAGATCTCATCCTAAGAAGTCTTTCTTAGTTTTTTGCTGACTTGAAGGTGAAATCAAAACTCCTGTTATAAAATCTCATAGTTCTTCCCCAAATTTTGAATACGTTTGTCTGGTCTGTAATTTTGTATTTGATTGCCTATTGAATAGTGTTTATTATTATTATAGACTAAAGTCACTGTCACTCCCGTTGTTCATCGATTTGCTCGAGCCGGCCCAGTAACGTCTCCATTGTGACACTTGTTACTGTGTTTGTCATATCGAATATGTCACGGGTAGCTTGCCAAGCTTTGCCGTATGGGCGAGATACACTCGGTAGCTTGCCGGACTCTCCGAGAGGGTCAGAGGAATCAAAATTGGGTCAGCCAGGTTGGCCGCGTGCAGGGCAAATGCCCTACCCACTGTGCTATTGCTCTGGCCCATAGACTAAAGTATATATATTAAAGTATATATACCTAGGCAATTAAAATTATATAATGTTTAATACTAAACTGATGTAATACAGATGGAGGCACAGTGTTGACATAACTGAGCATGGGAATGCTTTGGTGAGGCATCAGTTTCATCTATGTTTACTTATTTTATTATAAAACCATTAGTAGTATTTTGAATTTTGACTTTGCCAATACCGATTAAGAGCATCTTAGAAATTGAATATTCTTGAATGAGCTTTAGCGTAAAAATTTTTCTCTTTTTTCTCATCAGCAAGTACTTGAAGTTTCTGATTCAAAGGTGTGACTTCTTACATACCCTTTGGTATTTACTGTATGGAATGTTTTCATCTATGTTAATATAAAAATTTTAAGTACACCTAAAACTTATGTTAAGAAACTGTAGGCTTTATAATAGTATTCTCAATTCTTATAAAAATTAAACAGGAATCAGGAAGCTTAGTTTATTATTGGAATTATATTTTCATGTTGCTTTTGGTATTTGGACCTTAATTGACTACATGACTATTGTTGGCTGATTGAAATGTCCTTGTGAAATGCCTAAGACTTTAATATTTTCTTCAAAATTGTCTTGGCACTGTTGTTTTTGTTTTAAAATTAGTGTTTCCAGTCAGAGTTTGGTTTCCATCTTTCGTGAATTCTCTGTAGGAGTGCACAACTTCAAAAATAAAGAGACACAGTCAGCAGAAAAAAAAGAGGTGGTCTGAGCATTTATGTGTTAAATATGCATGTTAATTAGGGGAAAAATTAAAAAAATATGAAAACAGATGTTACATAAATTATTGCAGTCCCAGGACAGCAGTAACTTATACACTGACAATAATTTTTATATGTGCATGTGTGTGTCTATTTCTAGATTTCTCAATATTTATGCAATTCCTAAGAGAATGACTAGAAAAAGAACTGGTATATCCTTTCAGTGAAACATGGTAAACATTCCTTTTGCATATGAATGTGGAGGCAGTCTAGTTGTTTTTCATTATCTTACTGCAGATAGTCATCAGGTTCCCATTCTGTCTGTTATCTTCTCTTTTTTCACCTTTCTTGTTTCTCTGATGATGTGTCAGTATGGTTTCTTTTATTGGCTGTTTTTGGCTAGGACCAGAAAGTAACTCAAGGCCCTAGCAGTGTAGGAAGCATGCAGTTTACTAGATATAAAATAGGTATTTGGAAACAACAATTTGGACACTGATTGTAGTGCCATTTTCTCTTTCAGTTACTCTTCTGCTTTCTGAAGAGATAAACATTGTTGTCTGAACAGAGGTGGTACAGCGGTGTGATGATATAGTTCACAGTTCATTCATCAGTTATGTGCACCTTGGAAATGTTGAAAGCTATTTGACACTCAGCTGTGCAGAACCATCTTAAAACAAAATTTTTGTAAAATAGTTAACATGTAATGTGAAATTCTGCAGTTTAGCAGCATACCTGTATGCTTTCTACTTACTACTTACTACTTGCTACTTCTGCTTACTACTTTACTCCCTTACTACTAAAGTTTGAGTGCATAGTTAGTTAACATATAGTATAAAATTCTGGGAGTATAACTGCATACCTATATGTGTTTTAAACCTAACTGTAACTACCATTGAAGTTTGAGTGCCCTGACACATGAATAAGTAATTCTTATTTATTTATTTAAGTAACATATGATGCAAAAGTGTGACTTGAATAATATCATTTGTATCTCATTAGGTTATAGTAATTATACTTGTAATATTTTTTAGTATTATGTTGCTTACTTATATTTTACATTTCCCAGCTGCTTTTGTCTTTTTGTCCATGAGTCACCAGTAAGCGCTACTAATGTTATTAAAAGTAAACTAATAGAGGTTGAAATCTAGAAGAGAGTGTTAATATATATTTAGTAATTTATTATTTGGAGTTCTTAAATAGCTATATAAGAAAGTGTTCTTGCAGATTTGTTTAGTGATACCTATGTCATATATGATTTGTGTAACTGTATTGCTATAAATAATTTTTCTCCAGACAAAAAGGCTATGGGAATTAATTTTTCATTCACAGTTATTATATACTTGCCATACTGATACGTCTGCATTTTAATGTTACATTTTATTAAGTGCTTTGGAAGGTATTTTCAATGAAAATTTTCACATTTGTTTCCAAATGTCAAATTTCCCTTTTAAAATTTATGTGATTTTAATACTTGATATTATTTTGTTATGAATTAGAATACTGTACTATTTGAGCACTTTCTGTCATTTCAGTAAAACAGAATTCTAACAGGTTGTTTTATATTAAAAGATTTGGATGTTTTGTTTTATAATGCCTCTTATTATATTTTTTATTATAGAATGTCTCCCTTTGTTCTAGGAGTTAAAATAGATGACAGGAAGAGTGATTAATGAGTAGGCTAGTACTGGTTCCTAAGCACTCAAAATATCATGTCGTACATTTTTTCAGTCTGACTTTTGCATTGTTTGGTTTAGGGTTTCTTTTGGAATAGGAATATTTAAAACTATTTTATTTTTTTTTTCCAGGTCTTTGCTGTTTTTCCAGTAGCTCAGTTGAAGAACTCAGGTGGTCTCTGATTCTTGATTCTTCTTTATTTGTTATCTGCCAACCAAGATCTGTGTTTGGAAACCTCTGCTGACCTGAGACTGACGTCATATTTGAACCATAATAGGAGCATGTGTTTTCAAGTGTCAGTCGAATTTGTGGATCAGTAAAGTCCTATTGAAAGGTAAAAAAGCATATTTTTATTGAAAAATGGAATGCTGTGGGCTGGAGAGATTGCTCAGTGGACCAAGCACATGCGGGATGCCCAGGTTGGATGGATTTCTGGGCACTGCTGGAACCAACCTCCAGCACAGAGGAGTAGTACCCTGAAGCACCATCAGATGTGGTCCCCCTGCCACCCCTCCTCCCCCAGGGAATATTCTCAATACCTGACTTGGACTCTGGATTGTAACAAAAATACCATTTACTGGATGACTCCATAAAACATACAAATGTATTTCTCAAAACTGCATAGGCTGCAGAGTCGATTTGCCAAGTAGATTTGGTGTCTGGCAAGGACATGCTTTCTGGTTCATAGCAGACTATCTTCTAGCCATGGCCTTTTTCAAGTGGAAGGGATGAGGGAACTCTAGTGAACCCCTTTTCTTCGAAGGGCACTAATCTCATTCACAGTGACTCTACCCTTCTGACCTAGGTCTCACTCCTAATATCCTAATAGGAAGTTTCAGAGTTCATGTGAATATCTTTTTTTGGGGGGTGGGGGGGGTGGGAAGGGGATAATACAAAATTCATTCTGTGATAAAACTTTTTAGAACTTTTTGAAGTACTGGATTTACAGTACTGTTAATTATCCATTTCGTGCGTATATTATTTAAAATTATTTCATCAGTACACTCATCACTAGAAGGCCCAGTACTGTCCCACCGACACCCTCCTACTATGTCAGCACAGTTCTATGTCAAAATGTTCAATTCTGGTGACCATGACCATCTGTTGCTCCCTTACTATGTTTCTTTTTATTTTTCTTTCAGTCTCATATTTGGGGTAGATCTTTGCTTTTTTAAAATTGTAGAAGTGGTGGGGCTGGAGCAATAGCACAGCAGGTAGGGCATTTGCCTTGCACGCGGCCAACTTGGGTTCGATTCCCAGCATCCCATATGGTCCCCTGAGCACCTCCAGGAGTGATTCCTGACTACAGAGCCAGGAGTAACTCCTGAGCATCTTCTAGTGTGACCCAAAAAGCAAAATAAAAAGAATAAAAAGAATAAAATTGTAGAAGTGGTAATATCTCCACATGTAGATGAAGAGAGCTAATCTCCTAGAAGTCCATAAGTAAAAAATTCATTTCAAAAACTGCTTTTGTTACAGGATGTACATTTAAAAACTCATATGACTAATTTGATGCAAGTATATTTTAAGATTTACATAAAATTGATTTCTGATCTGTTTTTATCTTCTCTGTTAACCTACTTCCATTTTTTGTTTTTCATTGTTTTCTCCTTATTTTAACTGAGTCTTCAGTGGAGCTTTAAAAATATTTTCTCTCCAGCAGACTTTTAGCTTTTTGCTAAAATAGAAAGACCTCCCTCCTTATTTTCTCTTCCCTTCCCTCCCTCCCTCCTTCCTACCTTTCCCCCTTCCCTCCTTCCGTTTCTTTCTACTGTCTCTTCCTTCCTTTCTCTTACCCTTCCTTTCTACCACCTGTTCTCCCTGGTACCTTTAACTTGCTAAAGATGTGGAAAAATTAGAATGGTTGTACATGGAGTTGGAGGTATCTTAGATAATAGATAACAGTCCCAGTTTATTTTTAGCATAATCCACAGTAAAAAATTCTGCATCTGTGAGCCTTTTCCCAGAGGTATAAATGTACCAATAAAACAATGAAGTTGATACAATTCTTACTAAAAGTAACTGAATTGTGCTTTTGTGCTCTATATTATTTTTGGTAACTTTTATTTAATGCATGTTGGTGTTCATAACTAATTTCATTTCCTTATTCAGTAATAGATTGTCTTTTCAATTTCAAAAATGATACTGTAGATCACTTACATATTGTTCATTACTGACTTGTTGGAAAATTGAATGGAGTAAGGCAGCTTGTTTTCTGCTCAGATCAGTGTCTTTTTTTCTAGGTCTCTTCTGGGTTTTCAACTCTTTCCCCCATTCACAATAAGCTGCCAGATTAGTTCATTGAAAGAACTGGTTAATTATGGGGAAAATTAGAATACTGCTTGTTCTTTCTATAGTAGTGACATAAGTATACATGGTCAGGTTTCAGAAATTGAAAGGGTACATCTTTGAATAGATTTATCCGTTAAAGTAACACACACACACACACACACACACACACACATTTGCATGCATTGTAGCACTGTCTTCACATTGTTCATTGATTAGCTTGAGCGGGCACCAGTAACATCTCATAACTGGTGAGACTTATTGCTACTGTTTTTGGCATATTGAATAGCCATGAGTAGCTTGCCAGGCTCTGCTCTGGGGGCAAGATACTCTCGGTAGCTTGCTGGACTCTCCAAGAGGGGTGGAGGAATTGAACCCGGGTCAGTTGCGTCCTACCCACTGTGCTATTGTCCTACCCACTGTGCTAATGTCCTACCCACTGTGCTATTGCTTCAGCATATATATATATGTGGGCAGGATACTCTCGGTAGTTTGCCGGGCTCTTCAAGAGGTGTGTGTGTGTGTGTGTGTGTGTGTGTGTGTGTGTGTGTGTGTATGTACATATATATATATATATATATATATATATATTTCCCTCTATGATTTGTTGCATACTGTCTGAACCCCATCAAATATGGTGTGGTAATATTACCATATGAATTAAATAGAAACTAAAATGGCAAGAGAATGATAAAAGAATCTAAGCGTTGTTTTTTTTTTTAAAAAAAAAACAAGATGAACAAACATTTAGGTAGATACAATAAAAAAAGACAATTTGGACTTAAATGAAAAATCTTAGAAATATTAGTCTAGTAAGAGTAAAATTAAAAGATTGGAATCAGAAATCAAGAACCTAAAACAGAGGTATGTTTAGTGTGTGATGGCTTTACTAGAAGTTGAGTTCACATTTGTGGAATGTAAAGTAGCATAATAGGAGACTAACACCTAAGGATAGTAGAGATAAAGGCCAGGAGGATCCCCCCAAGACTTGGAAGCTGGTCTCACATGCTGAAGAAAAGGCAGCTGGGATAGAGAAGGGACTACCAAGTAAATGATGGTTGGAGGGCTCGGTTGGGATGGGAGACACGCGCTGAAAGTAAACTATATTGCAAACCATAACACCCAAAAGGAGAGAGAGAGTAAGAGGGAATGTGCCTGCCACAGAAACGGGGGGTGGGAAGGATTGGGAGTGATGGAAGGGATATTGGGAACATTGTCTGTGGATAATGGGCACTGGTGGAGGTATGGGTACTCAATCATTGCATGACTGAAACATAATCATGAAAGTTTGTAAGTTTGTAACTGTATCTCATGGTGATTCTTTTAAAAAAATAGGCAGAGGGGAAAAAAAGTTGAGTTCATTCTACCAAAGTGTGTGTGTGGGGGGGGGGGGGGGTGGGATGGTGATGCCGATTTGGCCATACTTGGCAGTATTCAGGCTGTACTCCTACCTCTGTGCTCAGGGGTCACTCCTGGAGGTGCTCAGGGTACCATGTTCAGTGACAGAAATCAAGAAAGGGTGAGCTGCATGCATGGCAATTGCCTTAATCCCTGTGCTGTTTCTTCAGACTTTAATTCTACCTAACTTTTTAAAGAACTAATACCAGCCTTCTCTCATGCTTCTGCAAAGCAAAACAGGAGGGAATACTTCTAAACTCATTTAGTGAAGCCAGCCATTATTGTCCAGATAACAAATCCAGACAAAAACCAGACAAAAGCAGACAAAAACCAGAAAAGAAAATTACAGATCACTGCCCCTGATGAACACAGATGCAGAAATCTTCAACAAACTGAAATGAACTAAATTAAGCAATATTTTAAAAAGATCTTAACACTGATTAAGTAGGATTTATTCTAAGGGTGGAATCATGGTTCAGCATCTGCATATCAGTCATTGGAATATGCCACATTGGAGAATTAAAAAAAAAATGCTCCTTTCATCGTTTCAGATGGAGGGAATATTTGACATCCATGTGTGATTATACACCGAGTGTAGGGAGAACATATCTTAACGAAGTAAAGACCGTATTTGATAAGCTCACAGCTAACAATCAAACTTTTAAGGCTTGACGGTCAAGGGAAGTCATGTTCGTGGAAGGACAACTCATTTGCCCTGCAGAATATTTGAAAGCTCTGAAGGTAAATGATGGAAAGGTTTCATGGCAGAGCAGGTGGTTTTTCACTATGTCACAGATCTTGCTGAGAGGTGAGGTTACAGACTGACTATGAATTGACTGTTCGAGACAGCAATGGGATCTCCTTGATGACTTCCTAGAGTCTTTCTAACAATTGATTTCTGGCCCTCCAGGCCTTATTTTTTTCTAAAATTAGCACGGAACCGGAAGACATTTTGAGATCATATGTTTTCTTGCTCACACAGGACACACAGAGAATCAGTGCGTTTGGTGTTGCTATCAGTGTACATGGTGTTCTGACTTTGGGAACACTTCCCTCTATGTCAATGATAGTTAGGAATAAGATATATTATGTTTTTGTGTCTTGGGTTTTTTTGGAGGGGGATGGGGGGGATCCTGAGAGGCCCCTATAAAGCAGTATTCAGGAGGCCAAGATACCCATCTGGATAATTCTTGGTCAGTTGGACCAGAGTTCAAATACAAGGGCCTAAGAATGTGGTGCTGCTCAGGCCCTGTGGTGCAGGGGATTACCCAGGTCACCCTGCTGGGGCATGGGGAGACCATGTGATGCCAGGGATCAAACTAGTGTCAGTTGCATACAATGCATGTACATTAACTTGTGTTCTCTCGCCCGATTTGTTTGGTTTTTTTAATATCTTATTTTGATTTCCTCTATATGCTAGTTCCAGCTTTTTGCTTCCCACTTATGCAATAATTATAAAAGTTTTCTTTAATTTCTTTGGTATGCTCCTAATTGGTGAAATATGTCTGTTTGCAGAGAGGTATTTCCTTTGATAACTCTGAGAAGAATGCATAGGGAATTCTCCATGTCAGAGACAAATGGTATCCAACTCCCTTACTACGTTCTTAGCTGATTTACTGTGAAATAACATTAAATATTTAGATTTTT